AATGAATGATTATACTTGAGAGTGACGATAAGTCAATTTTATGGGGTGCGTGGCCGTGCCACGTCCCAAAATTTTTTAATCAGCAAGAGCGAAAAGAAATTTTACGGAGAAAATGACATAAGTAGTCAGAAAAGAAATTTTATCTAGGACACTCCTCATAGAGCAAATTTTGTGAAAAAAGTTAAAAGGCGATGAAATGTAGTTTGATGCCATTTATGACACGCAGCGAGTTGAGGTGGAAACAAAATTGCTTGTTCTAATGCGATGTGTAAGTTGATTATAGAAAGCTGGATCACCACTTGAAGGTAACACAGGGTTATGCGTTCAATGGGGACATTGAAGGGGACTGTCCGAGGAGTACGTGCCATTCCGCCGGATTGACACCGCCGAACCCTCCGACGAGTAAGAAAAAGAGTATTGACAGTGTTAATAACAAATTAATCAGGAAAAGGAGAGTCGGAACATTCTAGAAGAAATTTTTCAAAAATTCGAATGACGGCGGAGTATTTCTGAGACATACAGAAAGTGGCCATATTTGGCGGAAAAAGTGAAGAAAATCAGAACAACCCAATTGACTAGTGAGAAACGGTCAAAAAAACGTAAGAAAAATAAGAAGTTTCTTATCGTGACGATCACGCACGATAACACGTATAGCGAGAGCCGATAAGAAGAAAGGAGGCTTCAGTGGGAGAGCCGGAAGGATCATTACCGTCCCGTGCCATGAAGTGGAAGAAATAACAACGTTATTTCTTGAAGAGCATGGAATCGGAGGTCCGGCACCCAGAGACTGTCATACGTTGAACTGTATTAAATTAACTTTTTAGCTACTCTTATGTCCTGAACATTTGAATTAACCACGATATTGTTTGTTAATTTAGAATATGAGTAGCTAGGAAGAGGAAAGGGTCAATTCAACTCTGGGTCAATATACAATGGATTTAGTATATATCAGTCACTAAAAACATATTCGTTTTGTGGCTAATTTGAATGCTAACATGTAAGTTGTTACAAAATTTTGTTGTTATAGCCAGAATTTTTCGATTCTGGAACTATAGCCTTAGTGTCAGCTCCCTACTTCTAAACTCATCGCGCGTGTTAATTGCCGGTCTCTATTTCCTAATGTGCAGCGCCTCTAATGTAAGTAACTTGATGCTGCTGGACGCCTGGTCGATTATTTTCCAATTAAACTCAGACTTACCACTCTCACTACCACACTGCCTTATATGCTGTCCAACTGGGGTATCCTCTTTTCGGTGTTCCTCAATCCTTGTGGTGAGATGTCGGACCGTCTGGCCAACATAGATGGATTTGAACCCACAACATTCAAGGCTGTACACCACTTTTGATTTCAGTTCACTAGAAAAGGAGGATTTTAGAGAGGGCATACAAGTTTTCAATTTCCTCGTCGTGAATATTATCAGCGCATTGGTGATATCGCGCACTTTTTTGCTAATGTCTGACTGTGATTCCCCCTATATTGGACCATCAAGATGGGTGGTGAATCACTGCTATAATCACAGGGCTTCTTTTTCTCAGCCATGTTCTTTTTGTTTTTGCCCTCGCTAATGATCTTTTCAGGGGCATGGGATGCAACCCGCGACGACCAACTTTCCGGATATTGGTTATCCAACCACTGCTCACGGTTGATTTTCATGGCTTTATCATATTCTTCCCATGTTGACGTACTGCGGAAAACCCGGTGAACAGTTCCTTCAATCACACTTCTCTTGTACTGAAGGGGGCGCAGCTTCTAAAATTTAGTATGGTACCTGTATCTGTTGTTTTTGATACCACCCACAGCTATTTTTCCTTCTTTTGTGAATACTAATTTGTAAATCCAAAAATGCCAAATTTCCGTTTGTGTTTGATGTCTCTTTTGTGAACTGTAAATTTGGATGTAGTAAGTTTGCAGCCCGTAGCACTTTTTCAGGATCACCCTTCACTGTTCTCACTATATCATCAACGTAACGGAGAAATAACTTAGCTTGTTGCCCTTACTTATTTTTCTCTCTTATTGCGATGCATTTTCTGCAGTACCAGACGGTTTCACTTATATTTCGATACTCATCATCTGATATATCACCGCATTTTACGTGATACCAGTTCAAACAGCATTCACATTCTACACCTTTTGACCTGTACGTGACTTCCTTATTGCACTCGGGACATATTCCGTGAAGATCTTTCTCGGGCAAAAACATTTCGGGAATATCCCTCGATAGTGCAGTTTTGTACTGCTTCAGCCAAAGATTTGCTAAAATAACGGCAAGAGTTGTTCCCATTGCCAAACCATCTTTCTGAACGTACCATGTTTCATTGCACTTGAAATGGACTTGACTAACTGCCATGTTCAACAGTCTCTTCATGGTTTTCCTAGCAATTGATGGTGGTATGTCTATCGCTTCTTTCAGTGGAACATTTGTGTACAAACTCTTCACATCTAGAGATATCAAGTTTTCATTGAGCTCAAGATTAGTGCTCTCTAAGATTTCTCTCGCATCTAGTGAGTTGGTTTCGATGTTTGCGCCCTCAATTTTCTCGAAAAATTTTGCAAGAGCCTTGTTCAAGTTGTAATAAGAGCTACCAGGCAAGGAGAGGACCGGTCTTAATGGGGTATTCACTTTATGCACTTTCGCCAATCCATAAAGCCTGGCGGGCAGCCCCCCCCCCCCCCAGTAGACCTCATCCTTGTGTAGAGACTCTCACTTTTTCATCTTTTTTCCTCATAGCCAACAACTCCTTATTGATGTCTCTTTCTATCTTCAAAACAATCGCATCACTTGTTCCTTTACTTTTGCTGAATTGATTTGAATCTAATGTATCTGACAACTTAATCTCGTAGCTGTCCTTTCTCATTGCACAAAAACCCACGCCTTTGTCATAAGGTACCGCAACTAATCCATTACTCTTCAGATACTTTCGGGCCTTCTCAACGCCTTTGTCACATGGTGTTTGTTTCACCCTTTTAGCATAGGCTTTTGCCACAGCTTCGATCTCACAAAGGGCCTCCCCGGGGACTTTACAATTTTTGAGATCCGATAGAATGATGTCAATGTCGGCGAGAAAGTGCTTCTCATTAAATTTATCCCTGACGGGATGCTTTGGCCCTAATGCCAACACTTGTTGTACCCAATTTTGAAGAAATTTGAAACCCGATTTTGAGATCCGATAGAAGGATGTCAATGTCGGCGATAAAGTGCGTCTCATTAAATTTATCCCTGACGGGATGCTTTGGCCCTAATGCCAACACTTGTTGTACCCAAAATGAAGAAAACTCTCAGAAATTTGTGACAAAATGTTGTAAAATGTTACATAATAGTTGTTACATAATTTCAGTGATATTTCTAAAGTTTTTATTGGTTGAATTTTTAAAAACTTGAAGTAATGATGTGTGTGACACTTTTTATGATCTTTGATCATTTTGTACAGATAGTTTAGAATTTTTAAAACCTGAAGATGCACAAAATGTGCGAAAAACGTTTGTTTGAATTTACAATTTTAACGCATTCTCAAACTAAAAACATAGTAAAATAGCATATTCGAGCCGTGTTTTTAATAGCAACCACGTAGTCTGGGGATCCGAAACCCAGCTATGTGGTTGTCTTTGCATGCAAACGAACGCTGATCAAAAGCTGATCAAAAGCAAAATGGTAACTCTTTACTTAGCCCTAAACAGACCAGAAAATCAACTGGCTAGATCGAGACGAAGAAAAACGTGTAGCATTTAGGTAACTGATGCCGGCCAGTCGTCAATAGGTGCTTTTTTTACGCTCCGTCACTGTGTAGTTTTTTTGCGAATGTTACAAGCAGTTTGACATCCAATCTAATGATATCGCTTCAAAAACAACTGAGTTGGGCAACAAAGACCTGCTATGACAAGAAAATATTTAATGTAAAAATTTAATTCAAATCGAATCGGAATTAATCAACTAGCGATATTTACAAAATTGTTTAAAATAAAAGATCCGACTTTATACAATAATGATCTGTTCTTTGGAGTGAGGAAAGTGTTCAAAACATAAGGAAAAGCTTGAATTATCTCAACAAATAAAAACTTCGTCGAGTCTGTCACTAGCTTCTGGTGTGCCCGGAACAGAAGCACTGTTACCAACCTGTACAGTCACAGAGATACGCTGCTTAAGGAAAAGTGTCGACTTAGGTTCTTGCGTAGCAGCCGATAGACGTTTACGAAGCGCGCGTACGAAACTACTGGGCACTTGATTCTTCATCAGATCTTAAGCTGGAATACAAGGTACTTCCGGTGTCCTTGTTTATCGATTGGAAAATAGTTTGCCATCAATGGAAAATCGAACATATATTACTACCGGCATACACAAAAATCGAGTACGTGAACAACCCAATTGACGTGAAAAAAAAGAACTAAAAAACTACACATTAAAGCAAGATTCAGCAGTCATTATATCGAAAATTTCAAAATGCAAATTGAAACATGAAACAGCAGCAGTTTAACTTACAAGACTATGAAATTTAAATTTAAGGAATCTTTTCTTGCTATTTTTTGTGAACATCCTTCTATGGCAACCTATGGAAAAACAACGTGGAAACAATTTAAATTTATTCCATGTTAAAATTCTAACCGTTATTTTCTAAATAAATATATAATGCAAAAAAGTTGTGTGACATACACTTGCTTAATAATATTAATTATCATTGTGCAATCAAAGTTCCATTTTTTTTATTACAGATGAGTAGTAATTTGGGTTACGATGATAGTTTCTGACATTGTGATTGTTTATTTGAAGAAAAAAAAACGTACAATATACAACAAACTTCGTCCTGGAGTATTGGTTTGCTCTCATAATCTGCTCAAGGCAGGAAATTAATGTAACCATTTTTTACATCTTGGTAATCATTTTCAGGTTGAGCTGTTGTTAAGATCAACAACCTAGTAAGTCCTTGTTCAATTGATGACAAGTTTCGCTAATTCTCTGTGTTTAAATGGTTTTTGCTAGTGTGGAATAGTACATTTAATAGCCATAATGAGCACTAAAAAGCCTTTGGATTTGGTTGTGTATGGTGCTACTGGGTTCACAGGAAAATTGGCTTGCGAATATTTGGCCGGCAAAAGTCCCGCTTTTTCGGACTCTTTCAAATGGGCGATTGCTGGAAGAGATGCAAAAAAGTTGGAAAATTTAAAGGAAACGCTGAGCTCTAGGTATTCTCATATGGAAAAATTGGGAATCGTTGTTGCTGATTCTTCGGACGCAGAAGCTCTGGATAAATTGACTTCGCAATGTAAAGCGTTAGTTAGCTTCGTTGGCCCTTATTCTAAATATGGAACAAAATTGATTGAAAGTTGCGTCAATAATTGTACACATTATGCCGATCTCACTGGAGAACTGTTTTGGGTTCTTCAGATGATGGAAAAACTAGACGAAAAGGCCAAAGCAAATCGGGTCAAATTGATACCTACGTGTGGCTTTGATTCGGTTCCAAGTGATTGGGGAACAATGAGTATTGCTAAAACATTCAAGGATAAATTGGGTGAAGACACTAAACATGTACGAGGTGTACTATGGGCAATCAAAGCAGGATTTTCCGGAGGATCTATTGCATCAGGACTGGAAGCGTCCTCTCCGGAGAATATAGGCAAGACAATATCAGTTATTAAAGATCCACAAGCTTTAAACCCGAAAGACCGAAAAAATGGACTAGATAGTCGCGATCCAAATGATGTTATATGGGATCCAGAGGTGAACCATTACTTAGCTCCATTTATTATGGCACCGATCAATTCTCGGATTGTTAGAAGGTCTAACGCGTTCAATGGTTATGGCCAAAACTTTGCGTATGACGAATTTGTAAAGTCAACATGGCTTAAAGGAAAGGCTATGTCATGGGGCTTAGTTTTTGCAAATTTATCAATATCTAACACTTGGATTAGACCAATAACCCAACGCTTAGTGCCCAAACCAGGCCAGGGTCCCAATGAAGACATTCAAAAGAATGGTTTCGCTAAATTGAAGTTCTTCGGAAGCAGCGCTGAATCTGGAAAGAAAGCAGTTTGCGATATGACAATTACAGGAGATCCAGGATATGTTGTAACCGCTAGAATGCTTGTTGAAGCGGGAATCGACATGGCACGCGAGTCAGAAGAAATGGGCGTTTTTGGATTCAGAACACCTTGCAGTGGGTTGAGTGAAAAGTATTTTGAGGCGATGCTGCAAAATGGTTTTCAAGTGAAAACCGATCTGGTTGACGAAAAAAATATTGAGGAATAATTATTCAAATTGGTAAAGCTTTCAACTGTCCTAATCTGTTTCATATCTTAGTTTATTGAATTGATAACTATAGCGGTTTGTAAATTTATAATTGCAGAATCAGTTGCTCTTTGCTATATTACTTAAAATGTTAGCACTACAAATATAGATACCAGTTGCTGTGCAGACAGCGAATTGTTTTGATCTGTCATTATAGCAAAAAAAACAGTAAACGAGAAAATTTAAAGTTTGTTTCATGCTATGAATATATCAGCCGCAATTTTTTTCCCGTGTGTTAGAAAAGTGTACCCAATTGCCCCTAGCTCAAAATTGTCGCTTACTTTAATCGTTTAATATAGCCTTGAATGTGAACAGCTTCATTTAAAAAGTCAACGAAGTCGTAAAAAAATGTTGAACCGAACTGAAGACTAACAGTTTTCAAGACGCTCACGTTGCTTATTTCAGTTTTTTTTTTGAGAACTTGAGTTTTTCTCGATAATTCTTTTTTGTTGGCCTTGTCCTGCCATGCGGTTTTTCACTCAACTTTAAGTGTTTTAATGGCCTGCTACTATTCCTGTTTTTTTTTATTAGCCACCGGTTCTGCTCAGTGCAGGACCAACCGTGGGGGAGATAGATGTCATCCATTTCGCCGCAGCCGGTCCCACCTTGAAGAGGCGGATGACCCTGGGACCTTTCCAATCGTGACCGAAGTGGGATTCGAACGCATGACCCTCGTGTTGACAAACGTGTGCCTAACCCACTCGGTCACAGCTTTTCGCTACTATTCCTCGATTCTGTTTTCAACATGATGTGCTGTTAAACAGAAAATTTGAAAGGATGAAAAAGTGTTTTTTCCTTGTATAAAACTTTCCTGGACTTTTACATGAACATGAATCTGTTCTTTTGCGGTTTACATGGCTAGTGTCAACTTTTTTGAGCCGTGAAGTCAATTATCAGAGCTTTTTTTGGCTTAATAGCTTTTTGACTAATATTGTCTTTTTTCTTTCCATCTTTACTGTTTTTTTTTTTAAATTAAGAGTCGATGAATGTAGTTCAGACTCTTATAAAGGTCGTGATGCAATTAGCTGTATATGACTTTTTGAGTGCAATTCACGTTTTTTTGCTAAAAGGATGGCAAATTTCGCTCTCCAATCACGAAAAAGGAATTGGCGCGAAAAAACGTGATCAGTTTTTAGTTTCGAAAATGGAATTTATTTATTTTTAGATTTCCCAGCGAAATAAAAACTTTAGCTAACTCCCATTTTTCTCAAAATGAGTTATTTTTGATCAAAAACGTGCCAACCATAAATTGTTGCTCAAATTCAAAGAGCTTCTTCAGCTTCGAAATTCGAAAGCTTCAAAGAAGTTGGAAAGTTTTTTAAAAACACTAAGTTTTTCTGTTTTTTTTTCATTGACTCTTTTCCAACTATCTGTTGGCTATGTTTTACTCTTCCAGCGTGTTTTTATACGATCAGCTACTTTTTCTCATTGACTCTTTTCCAACTATCTGTTGGCTATGTTTCACTCTTCCAGCGTGTTTTTATACGATCAGCTACTTTTTCTCAATTTGCAATTCGCCTTTAGAAAATAATTGAACAGGAGTTGTGAAAACAAGAAACATTAATGTGATTATCATAAACTGAATAAAAAATGATAGCATTCTCATATTTTTGCTTGTACTTTGGAAATTTGGTTTATTTTTTCCGCTGGTTAACTTTTGAATAATGCTGTTCATTTTAGCAGACATGAGTGTTTTTCAACGAGACAGATAACTTACTCAGAATGGGATAAGATAACTTACGTTTAACTTTTTTTATAAAGTTTAATATTTGGGCCCTTGCTGACCTTTTTTGGGTACCGTAAATATGAATGAAAAACACTCGTATGTTTACCCTTGCAATTATCAAGGGTAATGAAATCGCAAAACAGGACTTTGTTCACAGGATCCCCAATTTTAGGATCTCCAGTTGTAGCCAAGTTTACATCGCAGTTCTGTGTCTAGAGATGCAGAAGTAATACTGTGTCTACAGCTGAAAAAAAAAATTAGATATAAATGATTTTTTTTGTCGGCTTTATTGATTTATTCCCTAATTTTGTCGGCTCACTTGCCGGTTTTTTCATTTCCTTTTAAATAGTTTTTTTAAATGTCAATGAACCTAATGAAGACCCCTATCAAATGATGCTGTGATGCTCTATGTCTCACTTTCTTTTGATTTCAAATTGATTTGCTAAAAGGAACACAATTTACGCTCTGTAAAAGAAGTAGAAGAAATGACGAAAAAACGTGAATGATTTTAGGCTCGAAAGGTGATTTCACATTAAAAGTTTCCGGCGAATTAAAAACATACCTATCAATACATTAACTGGTCTATTTTGTTTATTGAAAACGCGTTGATTGCGCTTGAATTTAGCAATCTTTACCAAAACGTAATAGAATTTTTTAGGGTTAACATCCAGTTTGATAAAATCCTCTGAATCATTCGAGGCAACAGCTTTTCTGTGCTGATGGACTGTCTTCAGATATTTTGTGAGCTTGTCTGCCTTGTACATTTCCGTTTATTTGATTTTATTTTTCTGAAAGTAATCTTTCTCCAACTTTTCCGGCTCGAATGGTTACGGCTGAGTTTTAACCTGTTTGGTTGCCTCATAACTTGTTAAAAATCCTTTGTGCTCCGGCGCTCAAATGAATTTTTTTTTTCAATTGTTTTCTGGCGGAATATTTTTTCAGCTCAATGGTCGTCTATCTAAGTATTGTCTGCTTAGTTACCTCTTGATAAATTTCGTTTTAATACTTTTTTTAACAGAGGCAATTGTGTATCTCAGCATCTTTCTGCAAAATGAACTGCATGATACAAACATTTAAAAAATAATGGCTTTAAAATAAATTTTATAATGGCTTTAATCCTTCTTTTTTAATCCCGTTTAGTTGAGTTAAAAGACTGTTCAAACAGTTTTTGTTTATTTTAAATTTTTTTTGGATTCAATTTCGAAGAGCGTAAATATTATTTTTTATTTTAATGGCTTTTTGGTTTTTATAACTAACACTGTTAGAAGATGAGAATATTTGCAGAGAGTTTCTGTTGGAAATTGTTTAGATTTTGGAATGCATGGTTTTCTTTTTAAATGTTTTGCTCAGTGGGTAATTAATTTTAAGCAATTTTGTGTCATAATTTTCTCCAGCAGAGATTTTCTGTTGGAATTTTTGATTGTTGAAAATTATTTAGATTTTGCAATGCATGGTTTTCTTTTTTACTTTTTTGCTCAGTGGGTAATTAATTTTAAGCAATTTTGTGTCATAATCCGGTTTGAGCACAGCAATTTGTTTTGATATCACCAATTTTTCCGAAAATTGAAAACATCAAATTGCATGGTTTTATTTGTTTTTTGACTGGTGAGTGTCTAACGAGATTCAAAAGTGGTTAAATTCTGGCAAAATTTGTTTTGAAAAACATGAGTTTTCTTGTTTTAATATACGGGAGTATTTGATCTATTTTTGTCTTTTTATCTATATCTTGTGACTAGCTCTCTTGCCTCTTTGCATATCAATTTGTATTGAATATGATTGAATGATTGAAGTAATTGGGTCTTCGGTTTGGGTCGAAATTTTAATTTTCAATTTTGTTCTTTCATTTGGATCTTAGTTGAGAATACGCGATGGATAGTCTTTTGATGCATTCAAACGATCCTGATGGACTTGCAGTTTGTTTGATTTCAAAATTTTGAACAAAGTTTCTTGGAAATTCAAGTTTTTGAGTGAAATTCGTCAATTTATATTTATTACACATACTTCAATTTTTTCTAAACCAAGTGACAAATAAAAAGGTTCTTTTGATCGCATTTTTGAGGAAATAGTTTTATTTGTGGTTTAGTTTTGCTGCTTAAGTTTTATTACACTTGCTAGAGCAAGTGTCTTGTAATCGGGAACTAGACTATTTTTTCCCGTAAAGAACTTCTCTTACAAATCTTACTTGCATTTTTATTTAACCTTAACAAGTTCCAGGTTTTTTCACTTTTCAGCCTATAGGTAATGTGGTTGCCTTTGCACCATAAGGTCCGCGGTTCGAGTCCCGGCCGGACTTTGTTTTTTGTCAATATGTATGAAACTTGCTCCCGAAAAACAATTGATTGGTCGGACTTTTCGTTTGTCTGCTCAAGTTTTGCCGGCTTATTTGCCACATCACGGATTATTTTATGTGCTGTGAGAAATTTTAATTAGAGATGCAAATGTTGTTCTTTGTAGTTTCTGGGCGGAATTTTTTTTAAACAAAATATATAGTTTTTTTGCTGATATAATGTTCAAATGATTTGCTTGGCATGTTTTCCTTTTTATCGAGACATACCAAAATTTCGGCAAACCTAGTTCTTTTATCAACATTTTCCATTTTTTAAATGTTTGTGTTGTTCAACCTTTGTTTTTTAAATTTTTGTGTTGTATCGCAAGTGATCCGAATTTCCGCTGCGCTTCTGTAGATTTTTATCTGATTTGTTGGTGGCAAGTGTTTCAAGATTGTCAAGCGGCCATGGCACAGACATTGGACTTGTGACTATTAAGCGGGTGGTTTGATTCCGGTACATAGCAGATTTTTCTGTTAATTTTGGTTTCTTTCTTTTTTTTTAGCCTTTTAAAGCTGTATTGCCCTTTTCTGGATTGTTTATAATTTATATAAACAATTTATAAATAATTTATACGATATTTAATTTATACTATATTTAACCGATGATTTCTTCAATAGATTTAATTTCGATTTCTTATGAGTCCAAATTTTTGAAATTTGACAATCAACTTTGTAAAGCAAGTGATGCGAAACTTCGCTTTGTCTCTGTGTCAAGTTTTTCGGCCTAAATAGTTTAGGCTGATTATTCATAGGATTTTGTATCGTTAAGAAAGACAAAATTTGATTATTATTTCATAAATAATTCCGGTTGGTATTGGTGTAAAAGTTAAAACGGCACTTTTTTGTTTTGGGCTCAGTAAGCAGTGTCGATCCACTTATTTTCGGCTTAGTTACCGCTCGGTAGATACTAAAAGCTTTTTAAATGCTGGTAGCTGCGTTTCTCGGCATTCGAAATTGGATCGCGTTGTATCGCAAGTGGTGCGACTGAAGCCGTGCTTTGCCTGTGTTACAATTGCTTCTTCGTAGCTGTATTAAATTAGCCCATAGACAGTTTTAAATCGTTTTATTGATTAGAAATCGTGTTGTTCCCCCTGAATACTCAATTTTTTGAAAAGATTTGCGGTGACCGTTCATAGGTTGTGTCGGTAGCTTTTATATAAAATCGCAAAATATCTTGTGACTTTTTTCGCTGAAAATTCTAAATGGTTTTTTGGTTTATCGGGTGTCAGCTTTTTTCTGTCAACTTATTTATCGAAAATGATTTTTTCTCTCACTTTCCGGTGGTATTTTTCAAGATTGATCTGACTTTTCAAGTAGTTTTTACGCTTGCAATTAGCAAGCGTCATCAAATCGGAGCAATGACTTGTTCAACAGAATCAATGCATAATTTGATAGCTTGATAAATTATCAGTCCAATTTCATTGTCTTAGTTCGCGGCGTAGACCTAACTTCGATGCTTGGAACGACAACCGGTTCTTAAGACTTCTGAGTTTTTATCATTTTGTGCGATTTACAAATGGTTTCATGGCTTGTATTCTGAGAATTTTAATGCATTGCACTCAAGTTTAAAACCTCGGTTAGAGTCAGACAAGTCTTTGCGGATAATTTTTTCCACTATTTTTTATAAATATTTTTGCTTGCTGCGCTTCACTCAGTAATTTCTCAGCTGATTGTTTTTAATTTTTCGTAGTCGTCTTTTAGTCTTCTTATTTTTTTTGTCAGTCTCGTGCATATTGGGCTCAACGTATTGGACTTAATGCAAAAAAATCTCTTAAGTGACTTTTAGCGTTATAATCGAATGTCTATTTGTACGTCATAAACTCAGATTGCAATAAAAGATTGAATTTTTCTACCTTTTCAGATGGAAGTGGCGGTGATCATTTAGATTTGATGAGAAGTAATGCCTTTATAAATTGTGAGGGAATTATGGTATTGGTAGAGCTTATGCTCTCTTGAACATAATAACTACCGTGTGTGCGATACCAATGGACGCCGATGAAGCAAATTTTCCCGAAACAGAACAACAGGAAAATGAGTCGAACTCAAAAGCAGCAATAACAGACTGGGACAAAATAGACGAGGATGAAGACGAAGAAGAATCTGGAGGCCAATCGAAACGATATGAGAAGGTCCAATTCTTGGGCGAAGGTCAATATGCCACAGTTTGGAAAGCAAAAGATGTGCAGAACAATAACCGGATTGTAGCAGTTAAAAAGATAAACCAGGGAACGAAAGATGAAATTAGAGACGGCATCAATCGAACTGCAATCAGAGAGATTAAGTTCATGAGAGAGTTGAATCACGAGAATATTCTAGGGCTGTTGGACGTCTATGGAGGAAAGTATAATATGAATTTGGTTTTTGAGTTCATGGAAACTGATCTAGAACATATCATTCGAGAACAGGATATCATAATCACATTTCCCAATATCAAGCGATATCTCATCATGATTCTCCATGGGTTGGAGTATTTGCACACAAGATGGCTGCTGCATCGTGATCTGAAGCCCAACAACCTGCTGATTGACCCCAATGGGGTTCTGAAGTTGGCTGATTTTGGACTGGCGAGGTTCTTCGGCAGTCCCTCGAAGCAGCTGACGTCAGAAGTAGTGACTCGTTGGTATCGGTGAGTGAAAAGCTGCTGTAATTTTGAATTAAACCGTACCAGGAAGGAATTTTGCTTCCAGATGGTTAATTGTTACACTAGTGAGAGCAAGTGTCTTGTAATCGGGAATTCGACTTTTTTCCCCGTAAATATCTTTTCTGATAAAGTTGTAAGAAATTGAACTTGCCTTATTAATGAACCTAAACAACTTCCAGGCTCGTTCCCCCTTGGGGTGTGAGTACCGGCCGATTCTTGTTTTTTTTTCAGTTTGTATCAAATTGAATTTTCGGACTTTAGTTTGCCTGCTTATGTTTTGTCGGCTTAGTTGCCATATCACGGATTTTTCTTGCGCTCTAAGCAATTTTCATTTGTAAGCCTTAATTTAAGACGTAATGACCTTTAATAATATCTATGAGCGATAACATGTCTATTTTCTGGCGTTTTGTAAATACCTTGAAACTAAAAACAATGAAGATAATAATAACCGTATATTTCAATTTCAGTGCTCCTGAGTTGTTATGGGGAGCAAAGCAGTACGGAACAGGGGTAGACATGTGGGCTGTCGGCTGCATCCTAGCTGAACTGGTCATGCGAGACCCCATCTTCCCAGGAGACTCCGACTTGGACCAACTCAGCAAAATATTCTCCCTCATGGGAACTCCTACTCAGGAGTCATGGCCCAATCATGACAAACTGAGGACATACATGCAATTCAAATTCATTCCAAAGACACCTCTGTGTAATTGGCATCGTTTCGATTCAGCGCCTGAAGATTTGCTAGAAGTGGCGGAAAAGATGCTAGCGCTGGATCCGCTGCAACGAGTGGCCACAAAACAAGCTTTAAACATGTCCTTTTTCAGTAATGATCCTCCGCCTACAGCTTGTCGTAAACTTCCTAAAAAGCCGACAGTGGGACAAAAGAGGAAAAAGTTCATTGAAGAGCATAGTTCTGTGGCCAAAAAGCTCCTTTTCAATTAGAATGGAAACACACAGCTTTGATGTGATTGAAATTTTGTTGATATTGTTTGAACTGAAGTTAATTGTTTGTAAATGATGCTACAAATTGAAAGAGCTTTTTAGATGAGAAATTTGTTTCCAGGATTCAATAGAAAAAAAATATTTACCTTTATCACATATAAGCAAGGGTGAATTTAGATTACGCTTGGAGAATGTTGGCGTTTCACTTTTGAACGCCAAAAAGTCCTTACTATGGTACTTTTATTACCCAAAACGGCCTTCTCTTGCAAAAAATGCATTAGGAGCGGGAAAATTTCAGCGAAATATTTTATTTATGATCTGGGTGTGATAGGCGAAGCAAATTGATTTGCCTAAAATATGTCGAATTATGCGCAGTGTCCAATATAGTTCGCTGATGTGCTGATTTAATTGTACATTGAAGTAATTTTCAGATGGCATGAGTGAGGGTACACGTTACAGATATTCCGGTGCTTCTGGCCAGAAATACAGCACTGCGCCTGATCCCACACCAACAACCAATGGACACGCATCAACTGGGAAGAGCACCCCGACTCCATCTCCCTCACAGCCATCGACATCGTCAACCACATCCAATGGAGCCGCTCCGACGGCCAGCGGCGACTTCACCTCAGAACAAGCCGCTGAAGTTCACAGACTCAAGAAGTGCAAAGATTACTATGAGCTCCTGGGAGTCCCAAAGTCAGCATCAGCTGAAGACCTGAAACGCAATTACAGAAAGCTTGCTCTTAAGCTGCACCCTGACAAGAACAAAGCACCTGGTGCTGCCGAGGTTTTCAAGACGATTGGAAACGCATACGGAGTATTGAGCGATCCGGACAAAAGACGAAGATACGACCAGTACGGTATCGAGGGGCCCCAAAGGTCAACGACCAGACAATATTCGAATGGTTATGGAGACATGCACCATGGGTTCGAACAAGAGTTTGACCCTGAAGATATTTTCAACATGTTCTTTGGAGGTATGGGTGGAGGAACCCGGGTGTACACTTTCGGACCCGGAGGTGGTTTGTACCAACGTCGAAGACACAATCATCCCAGACACCATCACCAAAACACAGAAGAAAACCAGACAGCCGCGAACTATGCCGTGTGGATACAACTGGCACCTGTTTTGATACTTTTTCTGATGTCTGCTCTGTCGGCTTTGTTTGCTACAGATCCTATCTACAGTATGTACCGAGAATCGCCTTACATAATCGAGAAGGTAACTGCTCAACACAAAGTGAAGTATTACGTCAAACCTGATTTCGCTCAGACATACAAGTCTAGTATGAAACAGTTGGAAAGAGAAGTGGAAAATGACTTCATTACTATGACACAAAATAGGTGTTATCAGGAAAGACAAAATAAAGAAAACACCAAGTTGAAGGCACGATATTTCAGAGACAGTAAACTTTTAGAAAAGGCTGAACGTATGGAAACTCCTAGTTGTACAAGGTTACGAGAATTATACGGGGGTGGATGAGAATTTTCAAAATCCACTTCCATATTTGAACCCAATTTTTTCCAGCCCGTCGTCCCACGATTTATTCAGCAAAAATCAAAGAGCGAACAAATTTACTAAGAAAAGTGAATTTATCATTTTTTGCTCTGAATTAACTTAATTTGATAGCCCGTTGTTTATTCCGATTGTCCTTATTTATTAGTGTATTATGTATATAATCCCGAGAAGATGAATTATAATGATACAATGTTTATTTTGTCGACATTTTTCAAAATCATCGATGAATTTATTTCTAAGAAAATATACATTTTCACCCAAAAATAATGAAATTTAGCTGAAGTTATGAGGAAAAGCTATGAGTACTTTGTAAGTGCAGTTAGTAGAGTTTTCCTCTGGGATAGTCGTGGAAGTTGGGGTCAACGTAAGGATCGTGCGACACGTCTGCAAGTGCGATTCGAGAGTGCAAAACCCCGTCGAGTCTTGCTGTCATCGGAGTGGTTTTGAGTTTAAACGCGACTCCTGCGATTACAGCCATGAATACTGTAGTTATGAAGAAAATGAGAAGGTAGTGCCACAGGTTTTTCTCGGCCCACTGTTCGGCAGATGATTTGTGAGTTCGATGCATTTTGCTTGCTTCTCCGTCCTGGTTGGCTGAGACTACGAATCGGTTCTCACCGTTGCCACAGCGGAAACTGCGTGTGTACAAAGCGCGGTCGCCTGAAATGCCATGGCTCACATATTGCATCTAATCAAGTATTCGCGATAAAGAACTTATATACCAATGAGTTCGAGTAGATAAGTTCTGTTTTATAAAGTAAAGTTTTCTCAGCAAAATGAAATAAATTTTCTGATGTTTCATGAGAGCTTTTAAATCAAGTGGGCCAATATAAAAAGGCTAAATTTTTGTCCGAGTTTCCGATCACCTTTTGACGGATTTCTTTTAATAACAATTTTTAGTGGAACTTTCCTTTTAGTTCACTCTGCAGTTCTTGAAGAAACTTCAAACTTAGCTCAAAAATGGGTTCTGTTCAATCTTCCTCTGTAATCGAGTTTGAGCTCCAAAATAACGTCAGAGTGAGTATACAAATTCAGAACAGTTTTTTTCGTTGCTCAGAGTTTTTTAAGTTTTCGCCTGGTATCCGAGTCACTCATAAGCTTGAATTTAAGCTTGAAGTCATGTTGTTTTCGGGCTATGTACCCTGAAGTAACTTTGGTGTAATGGGCATTTTCTGCCTGAAAAATGCAGTTTGTTTTATTTAGATGGTAAGTGGTCATCCAAAATCTTTCAGTTCGTAACAAAAACAATCAATCGATGCCGAAATTGTTCAAAGCAATCATTGGTAGAGAGTTTGACTATGACTCAATAAAAAATGAAATTTGCTTTTTTTCTCAATTTTCTAGCTATCAAAACTAATTATTCCTTGTGAGTGTGGAATTTCAGTTAATGAATACCATGTGTAAATCCGTGAGCATCGTTTCATTGACCTTTTCAAGCCCCTTAAAAAATAAACATTTGTCAAACCTATGTTTGAAGTTTTTTGGTGCACTGCAATCATTATTTCATTGTCTACAAATTTTTTGTCATTCTCTCTTATTTCAAAGCAAGCAAAAACATGGCAGAATATTAAAAAATTGCCTAACGAAAATGAAACCTAAATCTAGTCTTAACAGCCTGGTGAAATCTAGTGTTGAATTCGAGTGTAATCATACAATATTGTTACTATCAGGGATAGCCGGTTGCTGTGCAAGGACCGCAGAATGTTTCGAGCCGACAATAGTCTTAAAAATACAAAGAATTTTGATTTTCCTTTTCATGAATGCAAGTCCAAGGCTGCAAAGCAAGGCAGCACCAGCAGAGCAGGAAAAACAAGGCTGGGAGAGGAGGGGCAAGGCATAATAGGGCGAGGAGGGACAGGACAGAGAATATGACAATGCATGGTTGGGCACGGCAGGGCGAAGAGGGGCAGCGCGGTAAAAGGTGAGGGGTGCAGGCAGGGCAGGGCGAAAATTGGTAGTGCAGGAAAAGGCGAGGAAGGCAAAGAGGCAATGCAGGGTGGGGACACGCAAGCCAGTTTGATATGGGGGTGTTGCATGACAGGGTGAGGAGCTGTAGGGTAGTACAAGGCTAGAAGAGCCAGCCCAGTACAAGGCGAGGAGTGGCAATGCAAGGCACAGTAGCGCAAGGCGAGGAACAAGACAAGGCAGCGAGGCAGTGTAGGGCAGCGCAATGCAAGTCAAGGTAGAGCGAGGCAGGACAGCCCAAGGCACACCAGTGCTAGGCAAGTCATGGTAGAACGAGGATGGGAAAGGTAAGGCAGGGTAAAGTTGGGAATCATCCATCTATACCTCATGAAACGGGCTTTTTTATTTCAGCGTTTTCACCTTACTTGAAATTAGCAACCCTGTGGTAGGGAACTGTTACGGCTTTTCTAGAGGTTGCGAAATTGGACTCCAAATATGAATTCTCAAATCCTTTTAGCTTACGAGACATGACAATTTTTGTGATTTCTAGATAAATTTTCAAAAAGTTTGGTTTTCAAAAATTTCGCAAAATTTAAACTTACCGTTTTGCGCGGTTCTGTCAGGTTACTCCTAGGTGTTGCAAGTTTTGTCCCCAAATGTGGTTGCTCAAATCATATTAGTTGTCGGAATACGTCAGTTTTTAGGAATTTTTTTATAAGTTCTGACAAAACTTAGGTTTAGAAGCAAGCAAAAACATGGCAGAATATTAAAAAATTGCCTAACAAAAATGAAACCTAAATCTAGTCTTAACAGCCTGGTGAAATCTAGTGTTGAATTCGAGTGTAATCATACTATATTGTTACTATCAGGGATAGCCGGTTGCTGTGCAAGGACCGCAGAATGTTTCGAGCCGACAATAGTCTTAAAAATACAAAGAATTTTGATTTTCCTTTTCATGAATGCAAGTCCAATTGGGAAGCAAAGCAAGGCAGCACCAGCAGAGCAGGAAAAACAAGGCTGGGAGAGGAGGGGCAAGGCATAATAGGGCGAGGAGGGACAGGACAGAGAATATGACAATGCATGGTTGGGCACGGCAGGGCGAAGAGGGGCAGCGCGGTAAAAGGTGAGGGGTGCAGGCAGGGCAGGGCGAAAATTGGTAGTGCAGGAAAAGGCGAGGAAGGCAAAGAGGCAATGCAGGGTGGGGACACGCAAGGCAGTTTGATATGGGGGTGTTGCATGACAGGGTGAGGAGCTGTAGGGTAGTACAAGGCTAGAAGAGCCAGCCCAGTACAAGGCGAGGAGTGGCAATGCAAGGCACAGTAGCGCAAGGCGAGGAACAAGACAAGGCAGCGAGGCAGTGTAGGGCAGCGCAATGCAAGTCAAGGTAGAGCGAGGCAGGACAGCCCAAGGCACGGCAGTGCTAGGCAAGTCATGGTAGAACGAGGATGGGAAAGGCAAGGCAGGGTAAAGTTGGGAATCATCCATCTATACCTCATGAAACGGGCTTTTTTATTTCAGCGTTTTCACCTTACTTGAAATTAGCAACCCTGTGGTAGGGAACTGTTACGGCTTTTCTAGAGGTTGCGAAATTGGACTCCAAATATGAATTCTCAAATCCTTTAAGCTTACGAGACATGACAATTTTTGTGATTTCTAGATAAATTTTCAAAAAGTTTGGTTTTCAAAAATTTCGCAAAATTTAAACTTACCGTTTTGCGCGGTTCTGTCAGGTTACTCTTAGGTGTTGCAAGTTTTGTCCCCAAATGTGGTTGCTCAAATCATATTAGCTGTCGGAATACGTCAGTTTTTAGGAATTTTTTTATAAGTTCTGACAAAACTTAGGTTTAGAAGCAAGCAAAAACATGGCAGAATATTAAAAAATTGCCTAACAAAAATGAAACCTAAATCTAGTCTTAACAGCCTGGTGAAATCTAGTGTTGAATTCGAGTGTAATCATACAATATTGTTACTATCAGGGATAGCCGGTTGCTGTGCAAGGACCGCAGAATGTTTCGAGCCGACAATAGTCTTAAAAATACAAAGAATTTTGATTTTCCTTTTCATGAATGCAAGTCCAATTGGGAAGCAAAGCAAGGCAGCACCAGCAGAGCAGGAAAAACAAGGCTGGGAGAGGAGGGGCAAGGCATAATAGGGCGAGGAGGGACAGGACAGAGAATATGACAATGCATGGTTGGGCACGGCAGGGCGAAGAGGGGCAGCGCGGTAAAAGGTGAGGGGTGCAGGCAGGGCAGGGCGAAAATTGGTAGTGCAGGAAAAGGCGAGGAAGGCAAAGAGGCAATGCAGGGTGGGGACACGCAAGGCAGTTTGATATGGGGGTGTTGCATGACAGGGTGAGGAGCTGTAGGGTAGTACAAGGCTAGAAGAGCCAGCCCAGTACAAGGCGAGGAGTGGCAATGCAAGGCACAGTAGCGCAAGGCGAGGAACAAGACAAGGCAGCGAGGCAGTGTAGGGCAGCGCAATGCAAGTCAAGGAAGAGCGAGGCAGGACAGCCCAAGGCACGGCAGTGCTAGGCAAGTCATGGTAGAACGAGGATGGGAAAGGCAAGGCAGGGTAAAGTTGGGAATCATCCATCTATACCTCATGAAACGGGCTTTTTTATTTCAGCGTTTTCACCTTACTTGAAATTAGCAACCCTGTGGTAGGGAACTGTTACGGCTTTTCTAGAGGTTGCGAAATTGGACTCCAAATATGAATTCTCAAATCCTTTTAGCTTACGAGACATGACAATTTTTGTGATTTCTAGATAAATTTTCAAAAAGTTTGGTTTTCAAAAATTTCGCAAAATTTAAACTTACCGTTTTGCGCGGTTCTGTCAGGTTACTCTTAGGTGTTGCAAGTTTTGTCCCCAAATGTGGTTGCTCAAATTATATTAGTTGTCGGAATACGTCAGTTTTTAGGAATTTTTTTATAAGTTCTGACAAAACTTAGGTTTAGAAGCAAGCAAAAACATGGCAGAATATTAAAAAATTGCCTAACAAAAATGAAACCTAAATCTAGTCTTCACAGCCTGGTGAAATCTAGTGTTGAATTCGAGTGTAATCATACAATATTGTTACTATCAGGGATAGCCGGTTGCTGTGCAAGGACCGCAGAATGTTTCGAGCCGACAATAGTCTTAAAAATACAAAGAATTTTGATTTTCCTTTTCATGAATGCAAGTCCAATTGGGAAGCAAAGCAAGGCAGCACCAGCAGAGCAGGAAAAACAAGGCTGGGAGAGGAGGGGCAAGGCATAATAGGGCGAGGAGGGACAGGACAGAGAATATGACAATGCATGGTTGGGCACGGCAGGGCGAAGAGGGGCAGCGCGGTAAAAGGTGAGGGGTGCAGGCAGGGCAGGGCGAAAATTGGTAGTGCAGGAAAAAGGCGAGGAAGGCAAAGAGGCAATGCAGGGTGGGGACACGCAAGGCAGTTTGATATGGGGGTGTTGCATGACAGGGTGAGGAGCTGTAGGGTAGTACAAGGCTAGAAGAGCCAGCCCAGTACAAGGCGAGGAGTGGCAATGCAAGGCACAGTAGCGCAAGGCGAGGAACAAGACAAGGCAGCGAGGCAGTGTAGGGCAGCGCAATGCAAGTCAAGGAAGAGCGAGGCAGGACAGCCCAAGGCACGGCAGTGCTAGGCAAGTCATGGTAGAACGAGGATGGGAAAGGCAAGGCAGGGTAAAGTTGGGAATCATCCATCTATACCTCATGAAACGGGCTTTTTTATTTCAGCGTTTTCACCTTACTTGAAATTAGCAACCCTGTGGTAGGGAACTGTTACGGCTTTTCTAGAGGTTGCGAAATTGGACTCCAAATATGAATTCTCAAATCCTTTTAGCTTACGAGACATGACAATTTTTGTGATTTCTAGATAAATTTTCAAAAAGTTTGGTTTTCAAAAATTTCGCAAAATTTAAACTTACCGTTTTGCGCGGTTCTGTCAGGTTACTCTTAGGTGTTGCAAGTTTTGTCCCCTAATGTGGTTGCTCAAATCATATTAGTTGTCGGAATACGTCAGTTTTTAGGAATTTTTTTTATAAGTTCTGACAAAACTTAGGTTTAGAAGCAAGCAAAAACATGGCAGAATATTAAAAAATATTGAAATGCCCAACCCTCTATTGTTGCTGCCAGGGTACTCTCAGGTGTTGCAAGTCTTGCCTTCAAGTTTGAGTGCTCAAGTTTTTTCCATGATTTGCCGTTTGGTATGATTTTTAAAAAATTTGGATTTAATAAACTTTACATAGGGTTTCTAAATTAAATTTTGAAAACTTTCGAGCGGTTGCAGATATGGCCTACCTATGTATCTATGATATTTCAAGAATGTTAGAAATTTTTTCAAATTTTTTTGAAGTCTTGAACGAAGGAGTAGAGAAATACGAATGCAACAATACAATATTGATTAATCTATTCGAAAAGTTCAAGCACTTTAGTATTAAAATTCGGAAAAGTAGAAGATGGTTAAAGTCTCTAAATTAAGCATCCATTTGCACCTCAATTGTCTATCAACTCGATATTGCCTTATGTTGTAGTATACCTGCAAAATCTGTTTGTCTTAATAGCTTTGCTGCGTGGGGTACGCTAGTTTTTTATCGCCAAAGAACCGCGCTATGAAGTACTGAAATTAGTTTTTCTGGATTAAACCAAGTTCAATGCTGAATTGATTTTTTCCTAACACTACTTATTTGCTGGTTTTATTCGCTCGAAGTTAGTATAAAACTCAAAAAATCAAACCGGTTTTGATCTCGATACTTTAATATGATTTATCCCTCAATTTATTCTGATTTTTTTAAAAAAAAGTACCTGATTTTGCGTAGAAAGCAATGAAAAGCGGGGATGGCCGGTTGCTCTTCAAGCAGCACACTAAGTTCCCACCACAAAAATTTGAAAATAACAGTTTTTCAAATAGCGTCGTTTTTGTCATAATTTGTTGAAATTTTTCTGGTCGAAAGCTCGAAACTTTCAATTTATAGCTAGTTCTTACCAATGACAAAAAAACTGACTTTAAACCTGTAAAAAGTGCGTCTCACTATACTTCTTAATTTTGAACTATAAATCCAAAAACAAAGAAACCAACGAGGTAAAGAACACATGTGAGATCAAGCTCCTAAAATGATAAAATTATATCGGGTGAAAACTTGTGGGCTGACTAGGGGAGCTGGGAATCCAACACCACTCTGTTACAGAACATTTGAAGATCATTAAATCACACAAGACAGGCGTTTAAAGAAACTTCAAAAAATTAATTTTACTGGGGACCTGAGTATAACTTAATCTTCATTTAACTTCACTATTATTTGCCTTTTATAAGATCTAGTCGCTCGCCTAACTCGCTCGAAACAAGCTTAAAACTCAACAAATTTCAACCAGTTTTTCTCGACACTGTGATAACTTGTGAAAATTTTAAGTGTTCAAAGAATCACAAGTTAGAGAGCTTTATATTGACCCCTTCCGATTATAATTTGTGATACCTGGAAATTTTTAAAAGCAAACGAAATTTTAAGCTGGTAATCAGTACCAAGTACCATGGAATGTTCGACCACATGTAGTTTTGAACTTCTTCTTTGAAAACTTGCCTGTTTTTTTTGCCTGACTGCCAATAGGCATTCTTCGGAAAACCAAAAGTTTCGAAACGCCCGAAGGAGTTAAGGCCTTGAGGGGTTTTCTTGATGCGATTTCACTTGTCTAAAAAATGCTCGCAGTAAGTGATTGTGAATTAGTTTCAAGCCATTTTAGTCGTGATTTGGATTCCGAAAAAATATATATATTTTTGAGCATGGGATTTTCAGTATAGGTTAAGAAAGTGTGCATTTTTGCTATTCTAACTGCTTTTTAGCTAGAGGGGCGAATGGGAAGAGTTGCTCCTATTATGATTTTAAAAACCAAAAGGCTAAGAATGTGTTGGTCTTATAAGAATGAAATGTTTAGTTTATTCATTTTCGCAACTAAACATTTTTTGGAACTACTATCACAACAAATCTGATTTGAAACAAGTCTTTAATCTATTAGAGTAAAGTGAAAACTAGACTTCGCTTTCTCGAAGAATAAAAGAGAGGTTTACAGATTTTGCAAAAATCCTGTTACCTGGTATAATAATATCCAGCCTGCAGTTCCTCAAAACCTTTGGTTTCTTCTTTAGCTCTGCCAAATCTCTGATAGCTTGAGCGTATACATTTTTCTCCATGTTATTCATGGGCCCATAAGAGTCCCGGTGGTAGCTGAGGAAGTTTAGCAACACTTCTGGGTCGAGGGGACCCCTCACGTCTGAGATTGGGATTGTATCGCCTGCTGCGAGGAGCTCAAGTGAGGAGGAAGTGGTCTCTCCATAATTGGTGTGGAATTCGATGTCGTCTTTCATGCTGAGTTGTGTAAGTTTTGAGTGAAATCTGCGAAATCATTAGTTTTGAAAATTTGGAACAGTAATGATTTAAAGTGGGAGTGGGATATACATTTTCGTGTCTGTACTAAATAGTCCAAAACAAAACAGTCCGGAAAAGTATGAAAATGTACCAGACTGTTTTGTATGGGACTGTGTTTTGTTCCTTTCATGATTTTGTGGACTTTTTTGTTTTGGACTGTTTTGTATGGGACTGTTTTATATATGCACCTACATTTTAACCAACCCCACCCTCTTAATATTAAGGTTTTCAAAACAATAAAAAGTTATTCAATTTGGATATTCCGGTTAAGTTTCGGTGTAATTTGATTTTAATTGTCAATTTAACTGTTTTGCTCTTGCGTTAGATCATTTGTTCCAAATTTCAACGGTTTTCAGAAACCTCTGACGTTAAAGACTCTTAATCGAAGCCCTGTCACCAAATACTGCGAGTCAGATCAAGATTGATTTCGTTCCGAAGTGGACCAAGTATTATATGAAATCAACTATTGATTATTTTGACAGCTCAGATTAGTATATCCTGGGCTAACGTGTGACTGAATTTTATCTTGAACGCGAAGCGATGTGATGTTTAATTATACCATCTGATGTATATTTTAGCATGGTAGTGTTTCGTTTCATCGCTTGCCTAGTTTGATGCCTTTGTTTTGTTTATCGCTAAGCAAACAACGGTTGGCTGTTTGAATTTTGTCTACGCTTATTTGATTTCAAAATGGAAAATAGTTCCTCTAGTTATGGTCTATAAAGGCTGCTGTGGGTGTTCATAGTCTCAAATACCTTCTGAAATAGTTCAAATTTTAACCATAACAATTAGCTTGATGAAAATTCTCAAAATTGGCCTTGAGGAGAAATAATTTCAAAAGTTTCAAATTGTTTGCCTATTTTAGATTTTTATGTTTTGAAAAATGAGCTACTTAGTAAAGAGAATTTTGCGACCTTCAATGACATTTTGCCGTTTTTGTGCGGTCGCTTCGTCGCAACAACCGCTGGCGACTCCTGAAACTCTACCACAACCGCCATCCGAGCAACCTGTGTTTTGTGAAACACCATTGCCAACGCCGTCTTTAGACGGTTCGCCAAAGAGTTACAGTCCGAAAATAACTTCATTAGTTGACCAAATTTCCAGTTTGACTCTATTGGAAGTAGCAGATTTGAATGAGTTGCTGAAAACTACGCTAGGGTTACCGGACATATCGATGGCAGCACCAGTTGGCGCGGGACCCGTTGCACCGGGCGGCGCAGACAATGCAATAGCGGAAGGGGCGGCGACTGAAGAAAAGGGAGAGAAATTAGTTTTCAATGTAAAGCTGGTCAAGTTTGACGCAGAAAATAAAGTGAAGTTAATTAAGGAGATGAAATCTTTAATTGAAGGTATGAATTTAGTGCAAGCTAAAAAGTTCGTGGAAGGTGCGCCACAGATGATAATGAGCGATATTCCGAAGGATAAAGCAGAGTCGATTAAGAAGAGAGTAGAAGCAGCGGGCGGAACAGTAGAGATAGATTGAAACACTGACAGGACATTTTGTTGTTCTATCTCATTTTGAAATATAACTGTCGGACAGTAGACTGATAAAATTGAAAGTTATATCCGTTGTGTTTTAAAGGGAACTATGGATTTTATAAGCATTGGCATGGTAATCCTTAAAATTTTCGGGACGCTATCGAAATTATGAAAAAAGTACACTGAACGCCTTAAACGCTTCATGTGACTTATGTTTAAGAAGTCCCTATCCTATATAGACATCTTAAAGAAATCCCTATGTTTGCATGTTTAAACTTTTTCAACGTATTATTTTTTGCATGTTTAACGAAAGTGTTTTTGCATGCTTAAGCTATATCGTAAATTAAAATGCTTTAAAAATTTCATTTGGCACATGTTTAAGAATTCACTATGATGGTCTGTTAAAAGATTGAGAAGTTTACTCAAGTCAGCGTATCTGTTGGAGCGCGAATGCCCCAAATCTATTGGAGCGCGAATGCTTTAATTCTTACACTTTTTCCGTTATTGGCAAAACTATCAAAAATTTATCAATCCGATAGTGGGTTGCTGTTAGGGTACATTCAGAAGTTGCAAATCTTATCACCATTTATGGCTGCTCAAATCCTTTTGGTATTCGAGATAAGGCGTTTTTTTATGATTTTTCCTTTTTTTCCAAAAAATGTAGATATAAAAAAAAACTATCGAACGTGAATTTCTCAGTCCTATAGTGGGTTGCTGTCAGGGTACATTCAGGGGTTGCAAATCTAGTGTCCAAGTATGACGGCTCAAACTTTTTAGGGTTTTGAGATATGGCGTTTTATATGAATTTTCCAAAAAAAACTTTGTTATCAAAAAAAGTAACCAAAATTGAAATTCTCAACCATATAGTGGAGAGGGTCAATATAAATTCAGGTGTTGTATGTCTGATATCCATGTTTGACTGCTCAAATCCTTTCGCTTTCGAGATGTGGCGTTTGTTATGTTTTTTCTTCATTTAAAAAAAAATAAAAAACTAACCAAAGTTGAAATTCTCAACCCTGCAGTGGGGTGCTGTCAGGGTACACTCTGAGGTTGCAAATCTGGCGTTAAATTATGACCGCTCAAATTGTTTCAGTTTTCGACATATGGCGATTTTTATGACATGAAAAACTAACCGAGCTTGAAAGTCTGAACCCTATAGTGGGGCGTTGTCAATGTACATTCAAGGGTTCCAAATCTGATGTCTAAGTATGACTGCTCAAATCCTTTGGGTTTTCGAGGTATGGAGTTTCTTGTGAGCTTTTTCTTCTTTCAAAAACCAGGAGAAAAGAACTACCCGAACTTAAATTTCTCAACCATATAGTGAGGTGCTGTCAGGGTGCTCTCAGGGGTTACCTTTCTTCCCTCCAAATATGACTGCTCCAATCCTTTTGCATTTCGTGATATGGCGTTTTTTATGATTTTTTTTTCAAAAAAAAATAGATACAAAAAACTAATCGAACTTGAAATTCTGAACTCTACATTGGGGTGCTATCAAGGTACACTCAGGGATTGCAAATGTAAGGTCCAACTATCCTTTTGGTTTACGAGATATGGAGTTTATATTTTTTTTTCAAAAAAATTAGATTAAAAAACTAACAAAACTTCAAATTCTCAAAGCTGTAATGGGATGCTATCAGCGTAAACTCAGAAATTGCAAATCTGCTGTCCAGGTATGAGTGCTCAAATCCTTGTGGTTTTGGAGAAATGGCGTTTTTTTTTTTTCATTTTTTTTTTCAAATAATTTGGATATGAAAAAAGCGATCTTGAATTTCTCAACCCTATAGTGGGGTGCTATCAAAGTACATTCCGGGCTTGCAATTCTGATGTCCAAGTATGACTGCTCCAATCCTTTAGCTTTTCGAGACATGGCGTTTTTGTTATTTTTTTTTCTTCAAAAAATATAGATATTAAAAAAGTAACATAACTTGAAATTCTCGAACCTAAAGCGGGGTTCTCTAAATTGCACATCGGCGTTGCAAATCTGGCCTCTAAATTTGACTGCTCATTTTTTTTAAACTTTCAGACATGTGGCGATGTTATTGATTTTTTCAATTTGTTTCACGAAACGACTTGCAAAAAACTAACCAATCTTGGAATTTTCAATCCTTGTGGTGGGGTTCTGTCAGGGTACATTTAGGGGTAACTGCCAGGGTACAAATCTGGCCTTTAACTTTTTTTGCTTATTTTTTTTTGTTTCCTAGATATGTTGTTTCTCATGGTTTTTAAAATACTTTTTAAAAAAAACGTTGATTTAAAAAGAACTGAGAAATTGAAACTTTTAACCTACGGTGGGATGCTGTCAAAGAACAATAAAGGGTAGCAGTTCTGCCCTCTAATTTTATCTGCTCAAATCATTTCGGTTATCGAGATTTGGAGTTTTTCATGAAATAGAACCCCTGATAGGTGAGCCCATTTTATCTTCACGGTTGCATTAAATATCGCTGTTTTAGTGCATGTTTTAGGAAGATTTTTTGCCTTCAACGATCTATTTGAAGCACCGTAGGTGAGAGTCATGTGCTAATCACTCTTAAGTTGGTTACTATGTTTGATAAAGTGCGCTACTTACAATTGTACGAAAAACTGACTCATTGAATTATTTAGTGAAGGAACTTTGTGACTAGCTACATAAAATGATTTTTTCTTAATTTTAAGTTAAGAAATAATCGAGGGACTAATCATTTCAATTGTTGGGTTTTGAGATTGAAGGGTGCCCAAATTGTTGTTCACAGAAAATTTTCCCATCTTTTAAATTTTCGCCAGCTAGCCTATTTCTACTAATCTATACTATATTTAAATGCGAGTGACAGCTATCTCCCATGTTTAAGCATAATAATTTTGCATGTTTAACGAAAGAATTTTTTATTTTTAAGCTATATCATATATTGCAATGCTTAAGGAAATTTTTCAATTTGTTTTCCGCAAGGTCATTAATTTTTCAGTTTTTTTTCGAGGCCAAATTAAGTCTGTCTGTCTGTCTGTATACTTGCTTTTTTGAATTAATTTGATTGTCTGTCTACCCGTCGCCTAATTTTTTAACTTTCATCTCTTCTGTTATATAATTAAATGCGGGCTTCGCTATCTCACCATGTTTAAGATTTTTCATCGTATTTTTTTGCATGTTTAACAAAAGAATTTTTTCACGTTTAAGCTATGTCGTATATTGCAATGGTTAAGGTTTTTTTTTCGATTTTCAGTTTAAATTCAGTGTTTCTTTTATCAAGTTTGAATTTAGCAGCCCAATTGTGGGATGGTGTCAGAATTTTCCCAGGTTTTGCGATTCTGGCCTCCATATATGAATAACCAAATCCTTTTAGCTTACGAGATAGGCAATTTTCGAGATTTTTGTTTAAAAAAAAAGAAATTTAATTTAAAAAATCTGCTCAATTTTTGAAATTGTCACCCTGTAGTTGGATGCTGTCAGGGTATTCTCAGGGTTGCGAATCTTGCCTCCAATTCTCACCTCTCAAATCCTTGTAGATTTCGAGATATGACGTTTTTTATGATTTTTTCAAAAATTTTCAAAAACTTAGATTTTAAAAAATTCCAAAACGTTGAGATCTCAATCCTGTTGTTGGATTTTGTGAGGGTACTCTCAGGGGTTGCGAATCTTGCCTCTGATTATGGCTGCTGAAATCCTTGTAGTTTTCGAGATATGACGTTTTTTTGGATTTTTTCAAAGTTTTTAAGAAAACTTAGATATAAAAAATTTCACAAAACTTGAAATTTGCATCTCTGTAGTGAGGCTCAGTCAGGGTACTCTCAGGAGATGTGAATTTAGCCTTCAATTATGTCTGCTCAAATCCTTGAAGTTTTCGAGATGGACATTTTTTCTGATTTTTTCGAAACGTTTTATGAAAACTTTGTTTTTTTTTCAAAATTTGAAATTCCAACCCTTTAGTATGGGGCTGTTAGATTACTCTCAGAAGTTGCCAATCTTGCCTCAAAAAATGACTGCTCAAATACTTTAGTTTTCCAGACGTGATACTTTTTGTGATTTTTTGAAAAAATTTTCAGAAAATTTGATTTTTTTTTTCCAAATTTTGAACCCTATATTTGGGAACTGTCAGAGAACTCTCAGGAGTTGCCAATCTTGCGTCCAAATGCTACTGCTCAATTGCTTTTAGCAGCACTGGAGGGTGCGTTACACGCTATTTTAATCGAATTTGGTGTAATTTTTTTTGTAGAAAATTGTTTAAGCACTGAACAGTCTTTTTTGATGGACATTTTATGTACGTAAAAGTTATTGAATTTTTTTTGAGACTTCATGGCTCGTATTAAGTTTGTTCTGATGCCAGTTTTTTTTCTTCAGGGCAGTTAGAAAATGCATTTAGTTTCGAAGTTGGATTTCAATTTTAGACTTCGCAGAGGAAATACAAATAACCTATTGACCCAATTTTATCAAGTTGGGTCAGTTTCATCGAAAAATGACGAGCTTAAAAATGTAAAAAGATTCAAAGAAATAAAAGGTTATCTGGCGAGTAGCACAGAATTTTCCCACCATATTAAAAAAATAGAAGTATTTTTTGGATTTTTTTTTTCAAATAAGTGTCGGTTTTAGTGCGTGATGTGATTTGTAAAATATGCGATCGGGTAGAAGTTTAGTAAATTAGGCCTGATCGACAAATAATGTCTCCAAAAAATGATTTACCAATAAAAAAAATGAAAAATTTTATAAAAATTTTGAATTTTTTCTACTTTTTAGCATAATTTTTCTTTTTTTTAGAAATACTTTTGCCAATTAAGCGCGAAATGAAACATCAAAACTAGTTTTCATTATAGTAAAAGCAAGTGTTTTAAGCGTAAAAGTTAAAAAATCAGTAAAATTTTCATTAAACGAGCGTTACTCCATAGCTTTATTCGCTCAAAATAAGAAAATCTCCAATATTTCGAACCAGTTTTCCTCGACACTTAGATAATTTTTTGACAGTTTTTGAAATGTCATTCGAATCACGACTGAAGAAGCTTTAGTATGATATATCACTCGACCCATTCCGATGGTTATTT